CCGAAGACACCGAACTTTTCGTATGCGACGAACCACTCGATATAAGTCAGCATACCGAGAACCATCCGGAGAGGTCCCATAGTCCTCCGATGAATCGGTCCGTCCCAAGACCCCGCAGGGAGCCTGCATCTACATTGGCACCTCCTAGAATGGAAAACCACCTTTCGCTCCCCTCAAGCAGGGATGTCTGGAATATGGCGAATTCTCGGTCGCGGGCCACTCCAGAAGCTTCTAACAGCTCACGACCTGCGTTTATCGACCGCCAAGAAAACGCAGTGCGCGTTTCTCCGGTCAGCCAGACGTCGGGACCGAGAAGTGTGGAACGGAGACCTCGTGGACGGCCCCCCAAACGCAGACGTGAAACCGAGACTGTCTCTGAAAGCGAAGAGGAATATGATACCGATGACCGTGAGGTGGCTACGGAACGCCGGCGTGCGGAAAAGCCCGCGCAGGCGCGACAAAGCAAGCGCGCAAGGGTAGACAATGGCCATGAAGGAGCCGGGGACGAGGCCCAGGTTCGACATCGGTCCAGGTCGCAGGAAGCTGCTGGTTCCCCAGTTCGTACGCAGGCCCCTTCGCCGCAGGCAGAGAACCGCCAGGCGATGCCACCACCGATATCTAAGCGGAGAACCAGAGGCTGGACAGATGCCGAAGATCGCCGGTTGATACGTTTGATCGAAGAGCACGGTGTTTCGTGGACGAAGATCGAAGATGAGAACACGATACAGCCTGAAAGGGAGGGAGAAGCCCGATTCGAAAACCGAAATCAGGTGCAGATAAAGGATCGTGCGAGGAATTTGAGGATCAAATTCCTTCGGTAAGTCGTCATTGCCTCTTTGATGTAGAAAATTCACTGATCAACTTAGGGAGTCCCTACCGATCCCCAAGAATTTTGTAGACGTGACGATGAAGGGGGTGGACAAGAAGAAGCTCCGGGATCAAGGTATTGACCCAGATCGTAGGGAATAAAGTGGACACTGTCTGTGGGCCCAGACCAGGGGTTTTTGATAATGCTTTGTGTGACGACATGATTTATGATACCTTTGGGGATACCGGGATATGTTTTCGGAGGCGTATTACTGGAGTCTGGTTTACGAACGATTGAATAATGCAGCGACTCCCAATAATGTTTATTATGACTATTAATGGCTAATTTCGGGGGTCCAGACTGTACTTGATGAATTTTTATTAATTGTCTTTTAAACCTCTCATTGCCTCGTTGGAAGCATCTTGAACAGCGAGCTTCGCATATCAGATGCGCGGCTACAGGCTAAGCCGTTCAGGGGGCCACTACTTCCCTACCATACTTGTCTCTGTGGTCTAGAATATTAAAAAGTAGACACCACTTCATTTCTCGGAGAAAAATTATTATCAGGCCCAAATTTACGACTATATGCTTAGTTACCAAAAGAAAAAGTCATGGATTCAATATTGATCAAGCCTTTGCATTCGCATAACAGCATAGGGAAACCTTCACCAGTAGGGAAAACCTAAGCCAAGACATGATGAAACAGGTAGGTTAGATAGATCACTGATAAATCTCGGAGCACAAGACAGCGTATTTTATAAAATACATGGTTGCCAGCCCCCAAGCAAATTTTCTCGAGTGATCCCTTAGCAGCCACACTTGCCGCAGCACTCCGGGATGTCAATATGGTGGTACTGGGCAGCACCCCAGCAAGCGGAACAGCAATCGCGGGCATCAGTGGTGTGGCACGTTTCAAGATCCTAAGTTAGATGAGAGGTTAGTATCCCTTCTTTGTGAATGAAGGCAATGATGTACACAACTTAGTTACTTACCAGGCGCTTTCCATGTGCAGACACTTTGCCACCACCTTTCACATGTTCAGCCGTGACGAGGGCTGCAAAGAGGGCTGTGAAAAGAACAGAGAACTTCATGGTGGTCAGAGATATTGATTGGTTGGCCTTTGGTGGTTATATGTTGGAATGGAAAGTTATCTGAGTGTAGAGTGTAGAGAATAATGATCAAGAGCTGGAATTATGAACCCATTTATATAGTAGCAAAGAAATCATAGAATAAGGCAACTAGTATATTGCCATCGATCCTCACCGTAATGAATTCTGGTGTTGATCAACCAGATCGTTGCATATTATTAGATGCTAGTCTGGTCCAGTGGCTTATTCGGACACTTCTACATGCAAGGAGGCTTCTAGATCGGGTTTTGCAGATCGTGCTGAGCGATCATATTGCATGTCGGCTAATATAATTTAGTACGGGAAGCAGATCCGATCTCTAAGACAGGAGGAATAATTGTTTGCCTTCTGCAGTTCGATGTAGTGTAGAAAAGTTTATGTTGAAAGTCATACATGCCTTTAGTAGGGCATGATACCAGAACTAGTGCTAATTTGGGCAGTGGGTTCGGGCTGTTTCACATGACGAGGCTGTGCTTCATTTGCTGACATCCACCCGCTATGTTGACCTCTTGTAGATAACATATTTCCCTCCCAGTGCATCCGTAGCTCATTATGGGTCTGCGACGCAGCTGTGTCTTCTGTCGTACCCGAAAGATTCGATGTTCCGGTAAATCTATTTGCAGTGCCTGTCGAAAGCGCAACCTCAGCTGCGAATACAGTCCGGAAGCTCGAAAGGGCCGGCCCGCGCAGAGGGGAACAACATCACAACCTCCGTTGGCGTCGCAACTACATGATAACAATGGTAGAGATGCTTCGTCGCAGCCAGGAGCGAGCGCAGAGAGTTCCTTGACGCCTTACTCAATAGCGCAAAGTTACGAGGAATCTGCAACCAGCTCCGACCTGAGTATTCAAGTAGGCGATGAACTGGAGCGGAGATTCAATGCCTACTTTATCACGAAAACTGACTCCGGCTCCAATATCTTCCAAACCGCAATCGCTACCTATCAACGGCAGTTGGAGAAGTCTCCTCGGAAAACACCAATTCATTCAATACAGCTTCCTTTGAGCTATGATGGGTTGCTGTCCCTTATGGCGTCGGAGATGGTGGGCATCCTGCCGCTCCGCTTTAGTTACCTAGGAGTTCAGCAGTTGGAGGCTCCGAATCAAAACTTTTATGTATCAACTCTAGCAGCGGACACTACGCGTACGATGTTTGATTCTCTCCAGTTTGCTGTCGATCCGTTGATAGTGCTGGGGAAGCATCTGATTCTTCAATTGGTTGATGTGTGGTTTTCGGCTCATCCATTGTCACCTCTAGTGTCTAAAACTCTTCTAACTACAGCAATCCAGGATGATACAGTAGATAAGGCTCTTCTAGCCGTCATACTGGCTGATGCATATGATATACAGCCCATCATGAGCGGGTTGCATAAATGTGCCCCAATCGATCCTCAGACACTATCCAACTTTGCTATATTGCAGCTGAAGCAGCGCACAATAGTGCTTGGACACCCTTCTGTTCTTTCTACAGCCCAGGCACTGTTTCTGGTGGGGTGGAGGGAGCTGTGCCTCGGCCATGCCCGACGTGCCACATGCTTCACAGGCTACGCCTGTCGCATAATTGCCACTTTGTACACCTTTTGGCAGGCGGGTGATCACAGAAAGTGTAGCAGAAAGCTCAACGGTGTGGATGTAGGTGCCGTCGAGCAAGAATTGGCACAGAATGTTTACTGGATCTGCCTGGCCACCACAACATGGGGGTTCATGCAAAGCAATCAGCCATTCTCGTTGCTCACTCCGGAAACGACGCCCGACTTCCCGTGCCTGGATGAGGCAGCTTCAGCTATTCTCCGCCTAGATCGCGCATCGGGAAACATTTCCACACTACAGGCACAAATCCAGGCTACCCAGTGCTTGTGGCCACTCAGTCACATCACCAGTACAGTGGCCCATATCTACACCCTGTATCTCAATGCACCCACAGAGAACAAAGATAAGCAATCTGTGCCATGGCAGAAACAGCATCTACACGAGTTACATCAGCTTTTCCAGCCTTGCTTTGATCGATCTGTTCTGGCGTCGAGGATGCATAGGATCCTTCTCAATGCCATCGAGCTGGTGAAGAACGAGGTCACCGTCGCATCGTCACGGTCTTTTCTTCTAAGTGCATATCATAGTATTGCTATTCATATGCTCTTCTCTGGAGACAAGAATGATCAAAAGCGGCCGGCGATCTCGCCGTCTGTCATCGATCCATTTTGCCAGTCGGCTTCCGCGCTTCTTACCATTATTCAACAAAGGCCTTCCAGAGTGTCAAATCTGATGCCTGCGCAAGAGTTTCGAAGCGTTGATGAATCGAGTATAATGCTGTATGCTTTGGACACTTGCAGCAGGGGCTTTTCGTACATATATGCGAAACATGAGCATGGCTCGATCGAGGAGCGCAATATGATTGGCTTGCGACAGAATCAGCTAGCCCACCTTGCTGATCAGCTGCACCAAGCCTGTAAAGGAGACGTAATATCTCGGCTTGGAGCAGCTTTACTGCCGGTGAAAAAGAGAATGAAGCGTGCGAAGCAAGCGTTCCAACAGCTTGGATCATCCTCCATTCCCCAAACAGCGCTGCTTTCCAGTCAGAACGCGCAGACACCATCGAGTAACTTGTCTTCCGCCAATGACCCTCTAATGGATCCAAGGCTCAGCGTTGGACAGATTGCAGATCCATCTCTTGCTCCTGACTCAGAGCCTTTTCCGCTCATGGCAATTGATCAGACCTTATCGCTGTCGGAGGACCCTTGTGAGATATACGATCCAGGCTTTTTCCTCGACGGACCGGTCACAGGGTCACTTCTGGGGTTCCCTGGCCTTGCCAAGATGAACATGCAACTTCAGGATTACGTATCTCTGGAAAGCGACCTGGATCAAGATGCGCTTGCTTTCTTGAGTCAAGGCACGAGTGGCATTTCGTTCAATGAATTGAACGTTCAGAGCGCTGATGCCAACCCTTCGGACACTCAACACAATGCTTTCTCATAATGAATTATTATATAGCACTTGCTGATGCTATTATTCAGGTTATCAAATTTCAATGTGTATCTCCTACATTCGTGAAACCATGGCATCGAACTATCAATCAACTCACAGCATCACGATACCAGCTCATGCCTCGCCCCATTGACTTCCAACTCAACTGGCGGTCGCTGCGTCTTCACCATGGGTGCAGGGTACCCTTGCTCCACTGCCAGGTTGCCACCAACACTACCACCGGATCTTTGCATCCGTTTTCTCTCCTTCCTTTCCCAAAACGCCCATACAAGCGAAGCACCCGCAATGACGCCCAGAGGGACCCCAACTCCCACACCAATGGCTGTATCCCGCCCCGCGGAAGACGAGGAGGAAGACGAGGAGGCTGAAGAAGATGCCATCGAGGCCGACGAATTTGACGAAGTACACGTACTATTCCCCGACGACGCATCCGCTGTAGAGTTCGCAAGCGCCGCATACCCATACAGCATCTTCCCGGTAGCAACCTCAAACGAGTTCCCATGCGGACAAATCACCTCACTGCCGTTGCTTATCGGAGTACCGCAACAATATGTTGAGACGCCATTCTCATACAGAAGATTTATTATCGAGCAACCGCCGCCTTTGTTGATACTTTCTATACAGTACAGAAGAACCAAAGATTAGCGTTATTCCCCCATCACCATTCACCAATACCATTACTCAAAAACACCGGAAGTATCATGTATGTACGTACGACAAACAGAGGGACAATTGTCCGACTCCCAATTCGGATCCGTACACGCCCCGCGGGACAGAACATACGGCTGTTCCCCCGTATCCATGCAGAGATTATTCGATAGACAGACGTCGGACTTTCCACAACATGCGGAATACGTGTCCGATGAACAGGGAACGTTATTGCTTGCGATGGTACCGTCAGGGAAGTAGCATGTCGCTGTTGCGCTGCTTGTCGGGGTGCATGTTGCGAGGAGGAGGCAGAGTAGCGCAGTCGCCCTGATCCCTCTGACAATCATACTGAAAGGCGAAAGGAGGCGGTGCCCGGGATAAGAACCGCGTTCTATATATTAAATCAAAAGAAAATCGACCCCAGAAACTCATCAATCAATCTAAAAAGAGAAAGAAAGAAAGAATCACGAAGTTACTCATGTCCCTAGGACACTTCTGCCCAAGAGAGAGCGAAAGAGTAAAAATTAAGGAAAACGAACGGGCGCGCGCCGCATTGCGAATCCAACTAAACATAAGTAAATCTCACTTATGGCAAGACAGGCAGGCAGGCAGCTAATAATACCTGCCTACAAGTGCAGAATACATGGAATTCCTACAAGATGACTGGTTATTGACTGCGTTCAGGCCTTCCAGTATTTTCCTTTTTTTTTTTTTTTTTTTTTCTGCAGAGCCTTGCAGGTAAAAAGTGGCGGCGGATTGCAGGGCTGGTCAGACAGATACCTATTATCTTTGTATCGGTGGTGTTAAGGGGGAGGGGTTGACGAATAAATGGGCTGTGGATTGGGGGCCGGGGATTCTCACTCACCGACTTTACTCATGTATGGTGTCGGTGCTCTCGTATTCGATATCTATCTACCCAGTAGGTAGATGGTTGGTACGTTAAATTTTATCTAGTCTGTATAGGCAGTAGTGAGTTGCTTAGCCTCAGTGATCCTGCGGACTATTGCTGCTTAGTTCTTATCTTATGGGGTAATTAATTAACTCCGATGGAGATGAGTTGTGGTATTGTTTAGGGCCGATGGCGTTATTTGTGGATTGAGTTTCGAAAGAAATAGTGAAATATAGTATAGCTAAATTGTAACAGAAATAGGGATATCTTAAACAACGAAAGTGACTATCACTAAGAAATTAGCTTACTGCTCAGCAGAAACCAAAAAGTACATGTCGCATCGAACCCGCGATTAATCCCAGCCTATTATAGGTATGTACCTTAGATCAATCAATGCCTAGCCCCGCACCTATACCGTACATCCGTAGCTACATATACAAGATGATCATCCCCTCTTGGACCGACGTAACTATATCTATACTCCAAAAGATAGAACGTCGAATGTAGATTGAGACATCTACAGTCCGAGCGCAACAACTGCCGCCATAAACACACCTCCGATCATCCCACTAGCAGGAGCACCAGCAATTGCAGCAGCAGCACCCGCGCTAGTTGATGGGCTCGCGGCAGCCGAGCCACTGCTCGCCGCTCCGGACGCAGTAGCAGTCGCAGACGCGGAAGCAGACGAGGCAGCAACAACCATCGACGAGGCCGCAGCAGCACCAGTAGCAGGGACAGTGACGCCCGTCATGGACGGTGCGGTAAGGATCACGCTCGGGACAGTAGACTTGGCTGCGCCTCCGTCTGCAGCGGAGCTGGCGATGGGGATACCGGTCTCCACCATGGTAGGGTTGACTTTCATGGTATCAGGGGAGGAGTTGGAGGATCCCGAGGACGAGTCGGAGTCATCAGACTCTGGGGCAATCACGATGCCGTTCTCGACGTTGTCGGTGGATTCACGTTTCAGTCCCGTGACAAGTTTGTCGTCGGTGGTGGACTCCGAGACAGTGGTGGAGTTGTTGATTAGCCATGCATTGGCGCCGCCGCCTATAGTGCAGTATGTATTAGTTTATGATTGTAAAGGCGATAGATGAGGGCGTAATGGAGGTATACGTACAAGTTTCAGATGGGAATCCCGAGCAAGGGGTCTGGCATTGGGTGGAAGAGACCTTCGCTGTTGAAGGAGGCAGGGAGTCGCCGCAGTAGCATTCGTCGCCATTGTGGAGGGCAAATACGGGCTTGTTTTGCTTCGTGCAGATTTGCTGGCAGTAGCCCTCGGATTGGAATTGATATGTGCCCGCTGAGGTTAGCTGGCCGGCACTGCTATAGCAGCCTGCGGTGGTGTAGGCAGAAGCAGTAGTGAGGAAGGAGAGGATTGAAAGGGAGATGATCTTGGTGGCACTGGCTTTAGGCATTTTGATGAACAAGGGAAAAGAATGGAAGTTATAAGGCTGTTTCCTTTTTCGTTTTTTTTCTTCAATGAACGAGAGTGGATTTTGTATGTATGTAGTAGCAGTTATATACCGGCAGGAAAACGAGAGAAAGTAATAAAAGAACGAACTGAAACAACTGATATCAGCAAAACTCACAGGCAGGCATAACCTAAATATGATCCATCCGATTATCCCATCGTTCAGGATGGGGTTGGCACCCGACCCAACCCCTTGGGATTTTGGAACACCCGAAGTTGACACAAAAATCGGCGTGTGAAACGCAGTAGAATGCCGATCTGAAGATCGCGTGAACGAACGCCCATCTGATTCTCCGGATTCCAAAATGGTTCGCTCGGCTCCACGTCCCGCGCGTTATGGCCGATCCCTTGCTGTCTTGGGGGCGATGTTTCATCATTGTTCCTGTCGAGTTGACGGTGTTGGTCTTGGGAGGACCCATTTGAGTGGCTACAAGCCTCCGCAATGCGGATACACCGTTCGCCAGGTACCCGAGCGAGGGATGTTGTTTGTTCCGGTGATGTAACGATCGTCGCACTATTGCTTTCTGAGACCACCACGCGGCCGACTATCGATTGTCAGACTCTTTTGGTCCTGTGGATGTCGTCAGGCTGGGGAGCCCCTGTGGAGAGGAGGATGACGTTCATGGTCTGCGACAAATTTTATTTGTTAGGTGAGGCTGTGTCTTGGTCGGACTGGGGCTACCTTGATAGTAGTAGTATTCTTAGCATCTTCAGTGGTGGATGCTCGCTTGTTGTTTGTTTTGTTCCTGACCCATGGAACCAAAGTCGGAAGGCAGAGTTGGCAGGCAGAATGGAGAAATGGAGTAAAAGGGGAGCCATGTTGAAGCTGCATTGTACTTTTTCGCCTCGTTTGGTGTCGATCACGAGACTGGCACCTGATACTCCCAATTCTCCCCCTTTTGGGCCTCACTCTTCCTCGTCTCCCTCGACATTCTTATAGTTCTTACTTAGTTGCACTCGCTGTGCTTTAGCGTCAGCCACTCCGCTAATTTGCTTCTGTCAGTGTTCGAATCTCCCGCATAAATCACCGGCCATGTTAAGCGCCGATCATCCACAAGCTTGATCGCGCCACTGAGATGCACTGACGTCTGCAGAACTTGTTGCAGACAGCCTCATGGCCAAGGCTGCTGTGTCGACCATTTTCATGTTTGACAATTGATACAATCCCCTACAATGGCAGGGGGAAGTCCCGGACTGGTGAAATCCGCCAGGCAATGTTGACTGCCAATGTTGCCGACCGACGATACTATGCAACAAGTGAACGAAAGGGGTGTTGCTATTGGCAATCCTTGTGAGACTAATGACTAACATTGCATCCCTTGATTTGTCACCTTTACGCAGGAGAGATCGCTGCTGGACGGGTTCGGCCGATGCTATGCTGAGGGCTCATTGATGACATTATGGTGGGAAATAATCCATTGTTGAGGTCTTGCTGGTCTATCAATGAGTGGACTTAATGTCACTGCCATTGCAACTCAGTTCCAATGCCTTCATTCAGCTCTCCGCTATATACCCAAATTCAATGCATCACAGAACCCGTTACTGCATGCTATCAATATCCTCAAGCTTACTTACCGCACTTTCATCTCGCCTGCCTCGACCTTCCTGCTATGGCAATTCTTTCCCCAGCTGAGCGGTTCCGTCCGCTTTCCGACCGGCAAACTTATCAACCCGAGCGATACGGAGAGGGGAAAGGCTATCACGGCAATGATTGCGCAACTCTGCGATAAGATAACCCCATGCTTTGACGTAGCCTCGGCCTTGCCCTTCTCCTCATTATTATCCTCCGATTCCCCCAGGGTTCCTATCTTCTGCAGAAAGTGCCCCAGGAATGGAATTGAAGATGTCCAAGTTCCAATTGCTTCCCCTTGTCGCAGGGCTGCTTGCCCCTTCAATTGCAGCCCTCAGCATCCCTTCCCCGCAGCAAATCCTCGATTCTCTTACTTTCGGAGAGCACACCGACGGCTTCTGTCCGCTAGCACCCAAGGTCGAGGTCCCTGACGACGGACTCTTCCCAGCTCTCAAGTTCGTAGAAGATGCCTCCTTCAAGTCGCGTCAAGTCAATCGTCTCTCCAGGGCCGTCCAGGTCCCGACCGCGATCGACGACTACATGAAGGACCCCTACGACGAGAAGTTCGCCCCATTCCTCGACTTCCAGAACCTCCTAAAGACCCTCTTCCCACTCACGTACGTCTCCAGTCCCCATCCTCACAACTCCATCTAACACAACCCAGCCACTCCTACGCCCGCGTAGACCACATCAACCGATTCGGTCTCGTCTTCACCCTCAATGGCACAGACGACTCGCTCAAGCCCCTGCTCTTCACCGCGCACCAGGACGTCGTGCCCATCAACGACCCCGCCGACTGGACCTATCCCCCCTTCGATGGCCACTTCGACGGCGAATGGCTCTGGGGCCGCGGTGCCAGCGACTGCAAGAACGTCCTGATCGGACTGATGTCCGTCGTCGAAGACCTACTCTCCCAGAACTGGAACCCAACCCGCACCGTCGTCCTCGCCTTCGGCTTCGACGAAGAATCCCACGGCTTCCTCGGCGCCGGATCCATCGCCAAATTCCTCGAGAAGAAATACGGCCCCGACAGCTTCGCCTTCATCCTCGACGAAGGCGGCATGGGCCTCGAAGTCCTCGACGACACCTCCAACGGCGTCGTCTACGCCCTCCCGGGCGTCGGCGAAAAGGGCAGCATCGACGTAGTCCTTACCCTCGCCGTCCCAGGCGGCCACAGCTCCGTGCCCCCTCCACACACAGGAATCGGCATCATCTCCGAAATCATCTACGAACTCGAACGCCAGGACCTCTTCGTCCCCGTCCTCGACACCCACCACCCAACTCGCAAAATGCTCGAATGCCAAGTCCGCCACTCCCCCTCGCAAGTCGAGTCCTGGCTCGCCTCCGCCCTCCAATCAAGCGACTACGTCTCTCTCGCAGAGAAACTAGCCTCCTCCCGCGGCGACAAGTTCCGCTTCATCCTCCAAACCTCCCAAGCAGCAGACATCATCAACGGCGGCGTCAAATCCAACGCTCTCCCCGAGAAAATCAGCGCCCTCGTCAACTACCGTATCGCGCTGCACCAAACCCCAGATGATATCAAGAACCGCGCTGTGGATATCATCTCCCCCATCGTGAAGAAATATAACCTCTCCCTCACGGCCTTCCCCGAAAGCGATACCGTCGACCCTGCCCTCAACAACCACCTCACCCTCACTACCCTCAGCGGCGCCCTCAGCCCCGCCCCAGTCAGTCCAACAGACACCGACACCGACGCCGTCTGGGCCCGGTTCTCGGGCGTCACTCGCTCCGTGTTCGAGTCTGTCCCGAGTCTCGAGGGCAGGAAGGTCGTCGTCAGCGGAGACATCATGACCGGGAATACCGATACGAGATTCTACTGGCCCTTGTCGAGGAATATTTATAGGTGGAGTCCGTCGAGGGCGGGTAAGGCGGTGAATATCCATACTGTGGATGAGAGGATCGATATCGATATTCATCTGGAGGCGATGATGTTGTATTATGGTATGTATATCCCTTGTTCTTCCTATTGGTATATTTGTGATGAGTGGGTGGGTAAGACTGACTTGTGTTTGTGTTATAGATCTTATTCGCTCTTTCGATGGATGGGATGATTCGTCTGTTGTGGATGCTGCTGTTGCGGATGATGATGATGATGATGATGATGAGCTTGCTCATGATGTGCTGTGAGTTTAGTTACTCGCACTCTAGGAGACTTAAGACTTGGTATGAGTATTGGTATGGGTATGGATGAATGACGGTTATGGATTATGTGGTGTCTTGCGCCAAAAGTTCATGTCTTTCTTGGAGTAGAATGAGATCCAGATCTGTTTCCATGAATAGCTCCATTATATAGCCAAATGCAGTTAACTATGTGTTTGTCTACCGATCTGAAATAATACAGTAAGAGTCAAGTAGGTAAGATAATCAAGTAATATTTGCAGCTTCCTAGGAAGATAATTATGTACTCGGCGATCGCCCAATGCACTGTAAATTGCCCGCTCCCCGTAATACCCATAGTAGAGGAAGTTTGAACGAAAGTGACAAGAAGGCGGGGAGGGGGCAATATCCCTGCTTAAGCAATATATAACAATAGTAACAATAAAGAGCTCAATATAAATGTAACGAGTGACCTGCACATCGAATGCTGAAGAATAAGAATGGAACGGCTCCACTGAACCAAGCAGGGGGATATCATGCACAGTTGCAAGGATGTGTCGGAATGAAACGAGAGAAGTGGTTTAATTGCCTTGGTTGAGTAGAAGCAGGGCAAAGGCACCGCCCACGACGGGGCGGTCGATGAAGACGTTGGATGGGTATCTATTAGTAACATGTCAGATGATTCAAGTTATATAATTTTCTGGTTCTTGCTTACCCTCCGCCAACTGCATCGTAGAGATCAGTCATTGCGTAGTTTGTGGGCGTGTCGTTAATCCATTTCGAGAGAAGCTGCGTGAACATGTCCCGCGTGCTGGTTGATGCGATGGCCGCAGTGAACATTTCCCAGTCGGCTAGTAGAACAGGTTAATAAGTGAACACCATGGTAGGGCTGTGTCAAGCTTACCCTTTGTGTAATTGTGTCTAGTGTCGAGCGGTACTCCGTACTCTAGTTGGACAGTGGGGTAGAAGGTGCTCTGCATGTCGTAGATAGATTGTGAAACCAAGTTCAGGCCCAGCTCCCGATCGGCATAGAGGTTGTATAGGAGACCTAGTAGCTGTCAGTATACGTACTCTGGCATTATTGAGGTGGAACATACCGTGGGTGTTGTTGGAGCCATAAGCAAGTGTAGCATGAGGAGGATTGGCATCGTGCGCGACGCCCAGGATCTGCCATCTGTCGATGTAGTTGTGAGCAATGGCAGTGTAGTTGGCCCCATTATCAGTGTGATCAGTCTCATTGCTAATGACAGCCATGGCTTCGATACCGATGATGCCCTTCAAGGCCAAGTTGGTCTGGTTTCTATACCTGTTGTTAGCATCTAATATCACATAAAGCGGGGTTCTGCACGTACGCTAAGCTGCCTGCAAAGTCATCCGTCGAGATTTGGTTGGCAGGGTAAATTGCATCCTCCACAAGGTACGCAGTCCACTGGTTGAGCAAGGTATAATGCTGAGACAGGTAATCGGTGTCGCTCGCCTTCTGCGCATATGCCAAGGCCATGATGACCATGTTGCCACATTCTTCTAGTGGCATTGCCTCATCATCGCCCTTTGGATGACCAGTAGCGTTGGGATAGTGGCTCCCTACATCATGCATGGCGTATGCGTTGGGGTAGTTGCCAGACTCCTGAATCTCGAAAAGTGGCTTCAACAAGAGATTGAGAAGCTCAGGGTTCGTGTATAAGAAGATGGGGTGTGCCGGGAAAATGACGTCGACCGTGTTCACGTTTCCATCCGACGAGATTTCCTTCATGAACAAGTAGGTGTTGTCCGTGGTTCCGCACAGTTGGGTTGCACCGAAAGCTTGACGGACCGTGAGAGAAGTGATCGTCAGGTAGTCCTGCCCAGCTGCGGCAATGGAATCCTGGGCTACCTGGGTATCAAGATCCGACGAGAGCGAAGAGGATGTCGCATAGTCATTATGGAAGAAGTCCAGCTGGAAGCGGCATTAGTATAGCCCTCGCAACCTTATCTCGTAGGACTTACAGCTTCTGGGCCCGTGCTGAAATAACTGGTCCACAGCGAAGGTAGAATAGTGGAACCACTGCTACTTCCTTCGTACTGAATTGCGTCGGTCTGGGCAAGACCGATAGAGTATAGAACTGAAGCTGCGGAGTCCACAGATCCAAGGTCATGAGCAAATGCAAAAATAGGCCAGTCGGTAGAAATGGCACGGTAGTCAGAGTCCTGCGAGTCGCCTAGCGTTCCGTTCGCAGCAAATGCTGCACGTACATCAACAGCTCCACCAGACTGGTAGGTCAGGCTTTCACTGTTGTCTGTGGCCCAGTACCAGTCTCCCCATTCTCCCTGGTTGCTGATCTCAGAGAAAGCAAGCTGGGTTTGGCGGCTGACTTTGTGATAGGCGACACCATTATCGGTGGTACCATAATCCCATGTTGCGGTCGTGGTTCGGTCTCCCGACACCCATTCTATATAGTTAAGTTAGACACAGCCCACCCGTTGCTACGCAAATGTAACTCCTGTCAGTAGGCAAGTACTCACCCGCCGAAATATCTGCGTACAGCTGCACATCGTGGGCCGTGCCATCGAGAGACTCAACCTGCACATCGACATAGGAGAACACGAGCGACTGCCGTTTGTAATCGTTTGGTGTAATCGGCGAAAGGAATGTAATGTTCATCTCCACTTTGTCGGCAACGTTCATGGTGAAAATACTCTTCGTAGATGTGTACTCATAGGAGGTTTGTGTCACAGTTTCCGGTCCAGGGATTCCCATCCAGGTGTAAGCACTGCCATCAACACGAATCATACCAGCCCAGCCAGTGATCTGGCCACTATTCCAGCAATATTATTAGCTTATATTTCCATCCAGATCACACACCATCAGTATGAGTACTTACGACCAGAAAATCGGCCATTCACCCGCAAGATACCCACCATTACCTCCATCACTCCCTGCAGACAGCCAAGTGCTCAAGTACGGCGACTTGACTGCCAGCGGTATCGCAGGCGGCCGGGCAGGCGAGAAACTAGAGGTAGCGCTGGCCGAAGCGGCCAGCACCGTAACCAATAAACTTATGAAGAACTGATACATTGTGAAATTTGACTGCAAGACAATCAACAGGCAAACATAGTCCTTTATAGCAGTACTTCTTTTGTTATTCCCCACAGGAAAGGCAATGTCAAAACACTTAAGGTTCCGCAGAATGAGATAGGTAACTCCAGGAATGGGGACTGGAATGTCAGGCACAGTCTCAGGGCGTAGACAATCGACTCAGCATTCCGGGAAGAAATGAGGGAATGGGGGCATATTTGAATCAAATGCAACAACCCTGATCGTCAGGAGATTCCAGTCAAAAACAAAACATCCCCAAGTTCTCGAAGACGGCACGGAACTGCGCGATAAGAAATTACTTCCCCCCAGCGTCGTCTGACCTGTCAGTCTCCGAGTGGACAAGACCCATGCGGTCTGCATCCATATGTCCGAGAAAAGCAAAGAGGTTATTCATGGAAGAAAGGGGGGCCGGTATGGGAGGGGGGCGTGGCTGAGTGTGATCAAATCTTACCAAGAAGTCTTTGATTAAGGTATGTGGTCTCGCGGAGCCATTTCCCATACACACAACGCTGGGCTTGCAGGACAGCCTCGGGCCAAAAGCAAATAACTCGGCCAAGAAGAGAATCAATGGGTCAAAGCAAGACGCCACTAGCTCGAGCAATATACTTGTTCTAAAATCCAGGTGAGCCCATGGACTGGGGCCCTAAGGAGCGCAGATGAACGAAACAATGTCAAACCAGGCCCCATGGTCTTTACAAGCGGCACGAGATTGCATATGACTACTTACTGAAAGCGGATATGACCGAGTGACAATATCATGAGTTCCGCGCCAGCAATAACGATAGATTAGCCGAGGAAACAGGTGACATCGCTTTTGACCGAAGTTATGGCGGCGGAGACATGAAGTGGATGCGGCCGGAAAGAGAGTGAAACAACTGACAAACAACTTTGCTGGAAGACACACACATCCTCCATGTGAAAAGGAGACCGTCTGAAAACGGCAGGAGACAACATGGCGTTGGTGCCAATCGATCCTCCCACCGAATAAGAGTTCTACGGTGTCTCCTGCAGAACTCTGAATTGCTGCATTCGGAGGGTAAATCATATATAGTATCGTGGCCATCGAAAGTCAACTCCGGGAGTCGATCAGTCACCGCCAGACCGGTTATCCCAACCAAGCCAGATTGTACCCATATCGATCGCAAGTCCCACGACAGTTCCCAGCAAGGGGAGGAAAGTAAAGCCAAACGGCCAGCATCGGGGTGGACTCGGAAAACCTACAGTACAGCGAGTGGACAAGCAGAATAAATTGGAGCCCCGTCAGTGTGACCGACATTTGTGATAGCATCATGTGAGAAAGTCGATACCTCGGGGTTTCCCCCTCATTCCCCTGCGTCCAGGAACCATGAAGTCCACCAGTCAGAGAGGTAGGTACAGGGAAGAGGTGCGCATGGCTGCAGTGTGACTATGCTCAACCAGTGAGCATCGACCATGGCTGGTGAAGATGTGGAGATGAGGGAGAGAGAGATTTGGAGATGGACGCCTTGACCTCCTCGGGGATCGGATGGCGGCAGGCTGACCAACGCGGAGTTCTCGCCGTGTCTTCCTCCCTCACCAACTAACTAATTGGACTATTCTACTATCAGTAAGATTATTATTATTCCCTGCTCAAGATCCCAGATCGTGTTCCACCGAAGAAATGATCCGTCATCTCGCCAATGCAGGTACCAGGCAACAATAAGTCCAGTCCAGTCCACTTTGCTTTTTGTTGCTGTTCTATTTTCAACTGTTCTTGTTATTTTTTGCGCCCGATCTTTACCACAAAGGACTGACTGACTGACTGCTAAGTAGTTAATGCAACTCGATCAATAACCAGCGTGATGTTCTTGCAGAGCATTGAGACATGCACACACAAGTAGTATACACTGCACCATGTGTCTCACAGACAAGACATCAATAGTAACCTGCACGAAACGCAGAACAGCTTCAAGTCGACAAAAAAAACAATCCAAGACACCGCTCCCACCTCGGTCAACAAGGAACTATAGATAGTTACGGTCAGGGGTAAGTAGTAGGTAGTATTCCACGGGTTAGTCCAGGAACAACAATGGCTTGGTTGTTTGCTTGTTTGATTGTTCATTTCCACCAGAGCCAAACTCCTCCGACCCATGGATTTGCTAAAACCCGACCCACCAACAATGTATAGAGCTGATCCGGACTGATCAGGAACAAAATAAAGCATAGTTACTGTTAAAAGCAAAGACACACTAGCTAATTGCTAGTAGATATCAACCTAACTCTTAAGGTTTCTCTTCAGCTAAACTAATAGATAAATATCCTATAATCAACAGAAACCATTCTACTACTAATGCAACTTCATCACTAGTAATGATGTCTCAAAGCTACAAAGACAAAGTAACCAGCGTCGCTAACTCCTATTGCTGCATGATGTATTGCATATTCTATTGTCTACTAGATACAAAGTCAATGATGTAGGGAGATACTACTAAGCAGTAAGTTGTAGATAACAGATAGTCCGAGAACTCCGATCGCGCCATTGCTCTCACTCATTGCGTTTCGCGAACTAAAGAATATTATCGAGCTAAACTACTGCTTAGGAGAGCATACCTTTAATTTATCGACATGCGTGGGAATCTCTCTTCTTGCTCATTAGAACCATCTATCTATCGAGGATCTCATCATGTCCCTCCTCTTATCTATTTAGACCGACCAAACAATTAAAGAACCAGTGATGGAATCTGAACACATGCCAAGGTACATATCTATATACAAGAATCATGCAACTATACTAACATATACAGAAAAATGATCAGTCTCTTTTATCTTTGACTTCATGAATCTCTAATCAGAAGCATTATTCCTCAGTGGCGTCTCCTCCATAGGGAAACTCTCCTCCGAAGGCACATGCCGATACGGCTGCGAGCGCTGGATTCTCCTCCTCCGAAGAACCCAAAATGCGCCCAAGAGAACTCCCGCGAAGGACGAGACAACCAGAATGAAGATGAGAAGATTTCCGAGGCCACGCACAACCTGATACGCTTGAGACAGCGCCGCAAGAAGGTCCTTGGTGTCACCATTTGACAAGGCAGAGGAGTGGTCCTCACCCGCCTGGGCCACCTTGTAAATGCTCGACGGGTTGATCGGGGAAGGAGCTCTCGACGAACCCACAAAGCCAGCGGCCTCCCAGTTATCGGGAACCTGGGTGCGATGCACGGCCGAGGTGCCCATCACATTGCCTTGGTGGTCGACAGCCGCAACAGACACCCAGTCGAGGAAGCCGTGGGCAACGAACATGGTCTCGAAGTCGGTCTTGGAGACGTTGCCGATCAGCACGGGAGCTCCGCCGTCATATGCCTGGGCGTAAAAGTTCCAGGCGGCTACGTCGGTCGCACCGTTCCAGCTGACATGGAAGATCGTGGTCAGGTCGTCTTCGGTCGTGCCGTATACGGATGCTACCAGATCGGGCGGCGCGCGAGGCCGGCCGGTGAACTCGTACTTGTATGCGCGGTAGGTCGAGAAGCGGTCCGATGCAAACCGGGCGGTCATTAGGACTTTTCCCTCTGGAGAGAATTCGCTCTGGTAGCCTGACTGGCTCCAGCCAACGAATACGTTGCCGTTGGGGAGGAGCTGGGTATTGCCGCGGAGTCGGGAGAGCTGGCCGTCAGGACGGTTGTAGCGTGCGATCAATCGGGCGGTCATCGGGTTGGCAGTCGTGTCCAGCTCGACAAATAGGGCCGAGGATATGATCTCGTCGGTGGTAATCTCGTCGGAGGCATTGTTCAGGAACGAAATGATATGGTGCGTCCCGTTCGACGAGACGAACTTGACATCATGCTGTTTGGAAAAGACAAAGTCCTGGACGAAATTTGTTTCGCGCCCACCCAATCGCCACATCACGCTACCATCTACGCCGGAAATCATATAGATGGTATCGGTGAAGCGCATCGAGATAATGTAGTCGCCGGCCTCATTCTTATCCACGGCATTCATATGCACAGAGTCGAATCCCCATTGACCCATAGGCTCCTCCCAGGTGTGAAAGCGGTCGGTCTCATGCAAGCCCAGGTGATCGGAAGAGTCCCATTCAAACAGCGGTGCACCAGTAGCCAAATCCAACTCTGCAAATCCACCCGTCAGGAAAAGCTTCTGTTCCCCGGGACGGCCCACATCAGCCATGTCCAGCATTTTCGACTGATAGACACAGGCCAGGGCTGTTTTGCCTCCATCCATGACTTTAAACTCGTGGACATTGAATTCCCAGGTATCGTTAAGCTTGAAAACCTCCGACTCCACCTCATAATGCTGACTCAAAATAAGACCGCTTCCGGGGACAGTTTCATCGAAGGACCGTTGCGCAATCAGGGACAAGTGAGGTTTATCGTCGATATTGTGCACCGCTTTGAAGTCGAAGGTGTTTCGGTTATCGAACATGGGGGATCCGGCCCAAATGAGAACCTGATCGCCGCGATTGAGTTAGCCATGTTGACGAATCGACCGATTCAAAAACTCGGTGGTGGGGGTAGAGTCTTACGCCATCTTGGTCATAGATATAGGGTCCGACCTGATACTGCAGATACTTACGAGTCGGAGATTCGGGATCGATCATGCCGTAGGGAGCAACAAACCAGTAACCCGGTGCGGCGCGGTCCCGATCATGGTGAGTGATTTCCCATTTCAAGGCCCGAACTTCGGGGAGCTGAGGCGATCATCATGAGCACGAGAGCAACACATGCATTACTTAGCCGTTGAAAAAAAAAGAAATAGTCAACTTACTGTCACAAAGGACATGAGATCCTCATCGTGGCGCTGCGCAAAAGTGAATTGCGAAAAGAGCAAGGCGAACAGACACCAAATCATGGTTCGGGCGGAGAGTGATGATGAACCCTCCCAGCAAAGCAAAAACCCAACGAGCGGAGGAGGGACAGGCCAGGGGCGGAGAAGGAAAGAGGAAGGGGAGGAGGAAGGTGAGAAGAGAGAAAAAGGAAAACCCGATCAGCCATGGCGCAGGAAATCATGAAAGGCTGATTTGCAGATACACGCGCCTTATACGGATTGGAGAGTCCCAACCCACGCCGCGGGCCCAGATACATAGTCTCGTTGTTCGACTGGGGCACCCCGAAGATCGGCATAGGTCTCCCAAACACCCGTCCAAACACACCCACCACTCTTGCCATCGGTCAGGACTCAGGAGAGGGAAGATGGAACCAGGAGAGAGAGCGCTAAACATGTTCGCACCCACGCAATCTTGGGACGGGCGATCCAATAGGGCAGAGCTGACTGACGGCTAATGTTGCCTGCGATGCCGCGCCCACCACTAGAGAGGCCCGGTGGCTTGGGTTTGATCTCGGCGCAGTGGACAAGAATAGCATGGCTGGACTGCTTACGTAGGCCGGCTTGCCCTGTAAGGAGTCAACTATCGGGCCATATTCTGTAGGTACTAGGTAGATAACTAGGCAAAGAGAGGGAAAGGGGACTTGGACTATATTCCGAGTCATTAAGGGTCTGGGAGAGGAAGGGTGTGACAGGGTCTTCTTCTTCATTCCTCATCTTCTTCCCGCTCGGTCGCGGCGGGTCCGCTGCTTGGCTTGTCTGTCCCGCCTCTCCCCTTTAGATCTCAGATCCATTCATGAGGAATAGAACTCTCTCAATTCCAATACATAACAACTAAAATAGTAGGAAGATACTTTATGATGGTCTTAGATACATACTCAGGGATCACCGAAAACATTGATTATCATTGGCTAACTATCCTAAATTCAGAGTCAACTCCTGATGTATCGGGGCTAACCAAAATCTGACCCTGTTGATGGACTCTGGAGATGCTGCTAGACTCTCTAGCCGGTGTTTAGGGGGTCACTAGTCAGTTTGGGCCCAAACCCACGGTGGATTCGCTAATCTTTCAAAAAAAAAAAAAAAAAAAAAAAAAAAAAAAAAAAAAAAAAAAAAAAAAAAAAAAAATCTTTCAGTCCAGCCAGCCGCATCTCTCGCCTCAACCCCCCCCCCCCCCAATCCAAGAAGAGTAGTAGGTATTGTGGTTTTCTTGATACTTGATGGTAAACATTCTAGCCTCCAATATCTCCCGAATGCACATTCACCGCATCGTTATCATTTGCGTCGTCATCATTATCTTGATCGTCATGGTCGTTATCGTTAGTTGAAACACACATGCCAAATTATCATCATACTGTTCCTCTAGCCATCGTGGATCATGAATTCCAAATGGTGTCGACACCCCCTCTCTTTCCTCTCTGTGAGTGAGTGAGTGAAAGTGAGAGGGATCTAGTAATCCCGAGTAGCCAAGACTTTCGAACTGCGCGCCAACTCGATACAAAACTCCGCCCAGTCGCTCTCACCGCTGCTGGTCAACACCTCTTCCTTGATGGCCGATTCCAGGCGCTGCCCGTATCGCTGCTTGAAGTCATCCTTCACGCGCTCCAGGTGCCGCGGTTCCCAGTGCAGCCGGACCAGGCGCGAGATCAGTAGGTCTGACCGGTCCTTCCCCGGGCGGGACTCGCGGAGGGCTTGGTGGAGGAGCTGAGCATCGCGCATCGGCCGGTTGATGGCTCCATTGAGAATATGCGCAAGAGTCTCTCCCTATTCTCGGTTAGTCCATTGGCAATGTTTGAAAACGATAACTCCTTCGGAAACATACCACCAGGTTGCGGGACTTGCTAATCATGGCTTTGGCAAAATTGTGGCCGTATCTCTTTTCATACGCACGGAGGACCTCTCGCAAATGCGAATCACTGCGCCGCACAATGATGTAGATCATGGGCGTTTCTCCCCCATGTTGTGTCATTAGTGCGGCATACAAATTATGCACGTCTTCATCCACCAGACGCATATCAATCGGGTCACGCTCGCTCTGTCGGCTCTCTTCCAGGACAAGGAGCACCGCCGTGCGGAATTTGTCTCCTTTTAACTCGGCCTTCATACACCTCTCCAGACTGTCTTTATATCGTGAATCTGAGAAACCCTTCTTGATCTCGCGGATCTCTCGGTTAGTGCGACCAAACAGACATTCGATGAGGAGTTCACGCCTAGAGTTGCCCAACTGGTAAAAGCAGTTCGCCCAGAAGCCTTCGGATTCCCAGCGACCAAGAGCGGTGGCGTGGCATGCCTTGCCAAAGGCGTCGACTCCAACCCTAAGTTTAATGAGCTTGGCGATGTTGATTCCCTTCCCATGCAGTTTGTTATGTCTTTTGAACTCGTCGCGGAGTTCCATGATTTCATCTGCGCTCAGGCGCGGCAGTATGCGGATCAGGGCTTTTCTATCGGGATGCCGTGGCCGTTCCAGGGCATCGTGAAGCGCTGCGGCATCCGGACCCGCATCATAGAATGACACGCGTTTCTGGCTGCGACTGGGGGTTCTCACCACGACATTCTCAAGTTCCCCAGAAGCACGGTGCTCGTACCGCACGCGGCTACTCTCCCTCTTTCGGCTGCTCTCCCGCTTTGGGCGTTCGACTGTCAATGTCGTACGCTCCCGATCATCCTTGGATTTCTTCCGTCTATGTACCCTGAGTTCTTCATCCGAATCATACTCAAGAGGCTCCATATCGGAAATGTCGCCGTCCAGCCTGGGGGCAATGACGATCGGTGATGGCATGGGTGATATGCTCTGATACGTGCCTTTGTATGGTTCCAGCATTGGACTGACAGGCCTGCTGGTCGGGTCGGGGCCCTCGACCGCGAGGTTATTGACGGAAGATACGGAGCGACTGTGAGGACGCGTGGTGGTCCGAGGCGCTATTTCAACGTACTCCATTCTATTGCCCGAGCTGGTGGTAGGCACCTTAGAGAATTGAGGGTTAGCAGAATATTTGACATCGGCAACCTGTGGCTGTTTGGCTGCAGTAGCTCCGGTTTTGGTGGAGAATTGGGGTGTTGTCGAGTATGCGACCGGCTTGGCTGCGCTATCTGCTGCGCTTTTAGAAGCATATTTAACATTTGGATCTATGTGCGCGTATTGGTACTGAGGTGGGGCAGCGTAGGGTGTCTTGACAGTCGCGTCAGTCGAAGCAGTGCGCTGATGTGCCGAAGCCACATGAGTATAGGCGTTGCCCCCAGGCATCGACAGTGGACGGCCATTAAACGATGAATAAGTTTCCTGCAAGCCCTGTGGAGTCACGTAGCGTACGGAGGAAGTATTGACGGCTGCAGTTGTAGCCGGTACAGAGGGCTCAGTGGTTGCAGGATACGGAAATGCCCCGGGCATGGATGGAGCTTGCGCCTGAGAAGTTGGCGGCACGAAGCCCGGTCGCTCACACTCTGGGACCGGTGCCCAGTTGGCCTGAGCTGTGGATGATGCAGGATAGCCGCCGTAGGGGGAAGGCTCGGGACTGGCGAAATTACCTCTGATTTCTTCTCTCGAAGGGGTGTGAGAATGCGACGGCCTGCTGCCGTGGGCTGCATCGTTATTAAGAGCCCCGGACATCATAGCAGGATCCTTGCGACGTGCAGAACCAAGCTTAGGCATATAACGCTTGAGACCTGAGATTCCGTATGTTTTGTTGTCGCGGCTCCCGGGAAGATCACCGTATGCAAGCGCATCATCATCGTCCGAACTCAGCGAGTCGAGCGAAGACTCACTTTCATAGTGAACAGATAGACGATGGCGTGAATTGCGCGGCCCGGCGTCACGCCTTGCCCCTTTGCTTTCTCCCGAATCAGATTGATAATAATGATCGCGGCCGAGTTCGGGTCGCAAATAGGCTTCCCGTCCATCAGACTGGAAATCGGGACCAGCAGCGCCATAGCGCGAGCTAGTCCGATGAGCGCCACCAGGGCTTACACCTCTGCTGCGTGATCGAGCACGGAGCTTTCCATCATTGAGGTCAGAGGTGTAATAACTGCGGGGATCAGCGGCGGACGGATCGCGATAATCGCGAGACTTGGAACGCTCGCGGATACGGCCGCTTGGGGACTTGGAACGGCCTCGCGACCATGGGTCGTCCACCTGGAGCGACATGGATCAAGGCTGGGGAATGAACCACCACGGGTAGGTGAAGTGCGACAAGTGCGACAGCCGATCGCCCACACAAGAGGAGCCAAGATATGGTGCAGACTAGGAACTAGCTTTGCACGGAGGACACAGTTCTCAGGTTACCGTTGAGAGCGTAGGTTAGCTTGATAAGCGTGAATGAAGACGGAAAAGAAGGGCGCAAGAAAGAAGGAAGAGAGGACTGGTAGAAGGAAGAGAGGAAGGGGAAGAAGAAATGAAGAAGAAAGAGTGGCACTGCTTGTGGGAGGAAGCGGCCAAGAGCAGCAGATGGTGGTTGTGTGGTGGGAGGGAGACACAGCAACTGATCATCGGCGGGATCGCGTAGAGTTCAGCTGGGGAAATTGGCCCAGTCGGGGTTTCAAGCAAGCAGTTTATGTGTAGTGGGACTGCAGGATAAGGGCACGGAGCTTTGTCATTGGTGTTCCGGGGCATCAGTGAATCAATCCTCAACTGAAAGATTCGCTACTGTACTTTCCCATTCCAATCCTTCATTCGAGGCAACCAACGCCCTCTGGAAGGAGCCGCACACTGTTCTGTGTAAGTGCACTGTACAGTATTAGTCCTCTGCAGCCTTGCGAGCGCAACGCCGGCCCACTGGGCGCGATATTAATGTGCGACAGATATCCACTGGTCTCACGAATGACGGCCGAGAAAGCTTGGGGTCCAGAATCCACATTCCTGCCGGCCAGACCGTGAGTCAAACCGCCCCTCTTTACGTCGCTCTAGCGCTCGTATACTCTCCGCCGGCAGCTGGACGAACCCCTCGCACAACGAAGCGTCATTGGTCGTCTCGTACTCAGCTTGGCCGATCCCGCCATCTTTAGCCTGCAGGAAAGTCTTCCAAGGTGCAGCATCCTGGCATGGCGCTGAATTAGCTGGCCGGCGCTGTCCACCGGTTCTAAATCTATTGGTGATTCATTCAGATGACTGACCATCGGAAAATCAGGCAAGCAATTTTTTGATGCTTCCTGACTACGGGAGGACTGGCCTTCCGGGCTCCGACTAAGCTGGGAGTGGATGATCTGTTCTTCCTTCATAGGTAGATGATTGATCGACAGAACAGTTCATACAGATAAAGCTGAACAGTGCATAAGGCAAGCGGCGACGCCTTTGGCAAATAAGAACTGGTTCAACGTCTACAACAGCATCAGCCGGGGTTCCTGGCCAATGGACCAGAATAGGATGTCTGGGACACGAAGCATGGCCCAGCAACAAGGACCGAAGGATATCAAAGACTGAATAGTGGCTCTTTAATCATGGCAAATGGCCGAAGAGAATATGGGAGAATACATGAAGATGGAAGATAAGATTTAAACAACGGTCAGAAGGTTAAAGCGCGGGAGAGGAGGCATAAAAGAAAAAGAGTAACTTGACCAACTCAGCCAGATGCTGTGTTGGGCACACAAGATCGGGCTTGTGCAGATGTGGAGGCACTAAAACACCAAGTTTGATATCACAGGCGCGTAGAAAGGGTAGCATAATCTCGCGATAGTTCATCAGAAAGAAGAAAAAAAAAAGTCACTCAATTCAGTACAATTGCGCAAATACATAGGAAATCGGGTGTCTCTCTCAACTATGCTCGAAGGCAAATGGGAAACAGAAAATACAATGTCCAAGTCAGGCGACTTCGGAAGAAGTAAAACACAACATGCTGGGACGCTTCGCTCATGAGTTCCGGGGCCCATTCAAGGCAGATAAGGGGTATCTTTTCTTTCCATATTAATGGCACTTTTGGCCAAGGTTCCCAACATTTCTCCGCAAGAGGGCTTGGGCAGTCAATGAGACAAGTCGGCATTAACGTCATTAGTCAAAAACTACACAGTATCCCTCCGGGTCCAGGACGGTACACGGTCGCGACCGCGAGCAGCAGGTAACAAGAAGGGTCGAAATTAGTCCACACGAACAGAAAGAAGAGAAGGTTCGCGAAACAAGATATGCTATGCTGAAGGGGTATTGAATGATGACCGGCTGCAAGTCATTAGCGGAACCGGCGCACATCCGGTCCAGTTCTCCCCGCATACAGCTTCTTCTGGGGTGCAGCGCTGGCCACAGCAACATTACGGTTCAAGCGGCTGGTTCTCCACCTCTCATACCAGACCACACGGCTCGCTTCGCGGAGATCAGAGCGCCATTCGTTGAATACGGCCTCCTTCAGTTTGAGGAAATCACAGTGCTCGGCGTTGTACGGGTCAGCGAATCCCCAGGCAAACTTGCGCCCAACAGGCTCATCGCCAGCCCTAAGTGAATGTGGATCGGGAGACAAGATGGTGAAAGGAATATGCTGAACGACGGCTTGGGAACCGGAAGACTTGCGCGTGTCCTGGCTGCGCTGGGAGGGCGAACGTGGAGACCGGGCCTCTGCACCTTCCTCGTTCGCAGCGCTGGCCTCCGCATCCTGTTCGGTATCTTGACCTTGCGCCTCCTCGTCCTCATCATCGCTCTCAGAAGATGTGTACTCTTCCTGGTCGTCCAAAGAAAGGATCTCCAGCGGGTCAATATTGGCTTTCTTCAGGCTATCCCAGACAGCCTTCCTGAGGTACGCCATGTGGGCTGTGGTGATCGTATCGGCCTTGCTGATAACCGGAACAACTGTGGTCTTGCCCACTATGGTTCGCAGGACCTGAACATCAAGACGCTCGTCGAGAACACCAATGACAGGTGTATCGGTTGCCCTGGGGGTTCCCTGCGCAGCCCGCTCTGCAGCCGCTATATTCTGGTCCAAGCGGACTGGATCCAGGATCAAGAAGGTGCAATGGATATGGGTGTCGCGAGCTCCAGGTGACCGAACAACCTTCATTTCCTCACTTAGCGTTTCCTCGAACTTACTTTCCAGGAACCCAGTCACCCCTCGTAGCTGGATGTCAACGATGTTCTTCTCCAGGCCTTGAGAGTCCCAGAGAGTCAGACCGACTCGTTCGCCGTCGATCTCTGTCTCCAGATAGTGGGAAGCGTAGCCCTCATTGGCGGGGGATTGGCGAGCTTGGTATGCGATTTCCTCTGGCAAACGGGAGGGGTGCTTATGCGGCGGCAATTCCAAGGACTTCTTGAGGAAATTGAGAAATGAGGTCTTGCCCGAGTTACTTGCGCCGACAACAAGGACACTAGAAGCACATGAGAATTTGACCCCACCGAGCGATTGACTGTAAACAATGCGACTTACTTGTACGGGGTGGGATCCTTGCGCCGACGCAGCCGACGCGGATTGTTGACGGTACTAACAGCACTGCTTGCGTAGCTATAGCGTCCACGGTGTGTCATGCTCTCTGCTCGTGCGTAGGCGTCGCTCGGTTCCGGGGCAACTGGCGTGCTTATCGTACTGCGGGGCACAGCTTGCTGCTGAGATGAGTCGGGCTGGCTTGCAAGTGCAGCAACAGTGTCTCGGCGCTCATCGCCACCAAAGGTCTCAAGAACTGGAGCCGGCGAGAGATCAGGTAGACGCGGGGGTTGTTGATACATCATTGACTCGCGCTGGCGGCGAGCTTCTTCTTCCGCCGTCTGAGCCTTCGGCATCTTCTTTCCGTTCTTGCTTCCGGACGAGCGTCTTTCGCCTAGAATTTCAATAGACTTGGAGCGACGAAGAAAACCCAAAGAAGATGTTCGGCGTTGGTCTTTGGTGTCCGTGACGACAGGAGGGACTTCTGCGGAAGGCTGAGTCCGACCCGGGGTCCGGGGTGCTGGTGAAGCGGTTGCCATTGGTTTTTATTATGGGCGGGCTCTTCCCTACCCTTATCACTCACTGGCTGTAACACAAATTGGGGGGATTTGCCAAAGAAAAGTGGGGACGCAGGGAATGAATCGTGTCTCAGATATAGACGCAACTCTTCTTTTTCGTCCCAGAGGATCAGTTAGTTTAGTGTACCCGGGTTCTTCTTGGGTTCGATCTTGAATAGGAAGGCCCAGAGCTGGTTCAATTGATTTAAATCACCCTAGCCCGAAAGACAAACGAAGTCAGTCCCAGCTCAGGAACAACAATCGGAACTTGACTCCATCAAGACTGAGCTAATGATTGTGCGGTCTTGCGGGATTGTTGAAAGATCATAATATTATTTCGGGTTGTATGATTAACGTACCAAATTTACACGCTTATTCTGTAACCAGTCGCGTGTTCCTCCTCCTTTTTGTCCAGTTGTAGCACAACTGCCTCGATGAGTGAATTGATCCTCGATCAAGCAAGAGAATAAATACTCGACCAAAGTTAGAGTGTCGGTGACCAAAGATGCAATTAAAAACGACACGGCTTTTCAGTAATCACAGAATCGACATGCACAAGCCCAGCAAGCGATTGTCGATCTTAACCCACGTCGCCTGTAGAGAAGCAGCGGGGCTTTAATGGAAAGAACAAACGGGGTTTTAAGTCTGTCTGTCCTTTTTTGACTCACGATCCTACCAGGGAGAGTTGAGGAGAAGCCTGCTCACAGCGTCCGACTAAGGCGGCGCATACAATTGCGATAAGATCAAATAATATCAGAAGAAGAGAAGGATGAAGAGGGTGGGAACAGAAAGAAACGGCACAAAAAGGATGACGGCGCTGGAGGGCAGATGATGATCGACCAGTGAGAACGGAGAACAGACAATGCTTTCCTGTCACCGAACCGACTCGTTGCGCAAACAAAAAAGACCCAATTGACTTGACCTCTCACTTTCCTGTCACTGTTTGTTGGGAGTCTCAAGAGCTTGCTGAGTTCTCCGATACCCTTTTGTGGTTGTTGTTGTTGTCTTTTTTAATTTTTTATGCTTTTCCTTTTTGAGGCGAATGTTGTTTTTCCTTATTTCTTTTTTTTTTTCCCTTCTATAATTTCTTATGTCGCTGCACCTCGTCGTCTCGTTCAGGCGGAGAAGCAGCTCGGGAAGCTTTTTTGGAGCTGGATGAAATTCAGGGGCAAAACGGCAGCCAGCAGGGGAGCTCGACCTTTCCCATTCTCCCCCACTCAGCACGCTCTCCGAATGTATTAGGTTGCTTCTAACTCCCGACTTGGTCTAGGGCCGGACGGCTAAGCTGGAAACTTTGGCTCGCACACTGGAGGGGCAGCCCGTTTAGCGATTTCAGTCCACGTCTCTCCAATGCAGTACGACACCGTCTGCGTTGGTATAACCCGGGGGGGATCATAGTTGAGGGGGGCGAGGTCAGCTTATTTGGAATGATATCTGCATCATATCTCTTCTCTGCTTTGTTTCAGTTGGAATGCTAACACCTTACTGAGAATACCAAGGGCAGTCTGGAAAGTAAAAAGGTCGATCAAATCCACTGTACCGACGGAGAACGTCCAGATGGAGGGAGCCACAACTGCCTGAATAATGAATGATCTTCCCCAACACCCATATCTCAACGCTCGTGCAGTAACTAACTCCTACTTCCTTAAAGGAGTCGGCCAGAATTGGGGTAGTTAGATAACTACTCGGTGGTCTAGAAGTTAGACCGGAACCAATTCAGTAGTGTCTAGCCGATAGACACGGATTGGATACATCCTCATGCTGGATCAGGCGGTGATCAAAACTCCATCCACACGTGGGTACTCCGTGCTATCGACTGTCATCCCATCCCTTGAGTCCACCACCAGACTCTGGTTGCATATGGCATGCATCCATTCCTACTGTCGTCACTCTGCGATCATATCTCCTGTCCCAGCATGCCGATCAGACTCTGTCCGACTGCTTTAAAATACAACAGATGATCACTCACACAGAATATAGTAAGTATCCTATCAAAAAAAGGGGCGACAGGAACAGTTCGGCATTTCGGTTCTTCCCGATACCTCGAGACAGCAAAACAGCAAAACAGACAAGACAGACACACACAAAACCGCCCCTTTTCTTAGTGCGGGGAGGCAACCCCCCAATCCAGTATAGTCGGAAAACCTTACGTGGTCGGGTAATAATAATACTGTTATTAAACGATTACTGGCAGCCCAGCAATGAGCAATCAGCTTACTCCCTCCCAAATTTGCCCATGTTCCCGTGCTCATCCGCCTGCTCGTGCCGGTCAGCCCCTGAGTTATTAGAGGTTGCTGTCGGACCACTCCCTATCAGGAACAGCCAAACTCAAGAAGTAGGAAGTAAGCATAGTCTACAGTAAATACCTGATGGAAGAACATCCCTAGGCCAATTCTACCATAAGCTTCTGTAATACAGACTAGTTGATGTGAGTCCCAAATTTGCGTTCTATCTAGTCAGTACTCCTCCCTCTTGCCCTGCAGTGGGAATGTGAATCTGGACTAAATGCAGCAAAAAGCAGCCGTAATCAGAACATCAGATGATCAATCTCCCAGGAGGCTGACTTGAAAACACACACACGCACACACACACACACACACACACACACACACATAACAATCTAATCCACAATCCCACACAGTAATAGTGTATACCCTGTCTTACAAAGTACTCCGTCCTGTATTCCGATCTCCACATATATCCACTCCCCTCTCTCTGTCCCCTCCCCGTTCTCAACGGTTTATGCCATTCTACCCTGCACTGTAACCAATCAACAAAAACGGTATGTATAAACAAAGATAAAAGAAGAAGAAGAAAAACTACCACACTCTCTACATCATCTCACCCTCCTCATCATCCCAAATACGAAAAGGCAGCACGACGCAAGGACTATCCGGACAAACAGTCGACCTGACAAGGTGTTTGAATTTAGGCCCGTTCGGGCCCGCACTGTATTTCGCTTGTCCAAAGAGCTCCGGTCCCCCCGGCAATGCGTCGTCTCCCCACTGCCCATTGAACTCTAGCCAGTTGACTGGATATCTGCGGTCGTAGGGCTGGAATGTCTGGCTGGCTGCGTCGAAGCTATATGCGTATGCGTTTGCGATGGGATCCCATAGGGTTCCTCTGTCTGTGTAGTCCATTACGAAGCCGAAGGGGAGGTTGAGGTGTGGGATGGCGTGGTCGTGGGTGCTATGTATTCCATTAGGTTATCATATGTTGTTTTAGCTATAGTTGTTTTCTGGGGAAAGCCGATATTATAATGCTCTCTAGGGGCAGTTCATACGTACCCAGGTACTGCGTATACGGCATGAGAGCCATTAGCGGAGTATGCGATCGGTCTTTTGCCCTGCTTCTCGGTTGCGTCGTAGGTGAAGGCTTCGCCTCCAGCATGTTGGCTGTACCAGATTGCTTGTGGGAGTCCGTTATCAAAGCGAATCATGTTGTGTTCCCTAGGGATATCAGTTGGGAATCTATGTAGAGAGAATTAGAGGTGTTGCGCACCAGTCACCGACGTGGTCTCCAAACTGCATTCCCAATACTGTGTTTCCCATATTGTACCTTTCATATATTCAGCATGGGTTGTAGCTCGCTCTCGGTACTACGAATCACTTACGCATAGAAGTAGAAGTAGAACGCATCTACTGTCCCATTTCCATGATCACGAGTGATTATTGTCGATGAGACAGCTCCATTTGTCTTTCCATTCTTATCTGGTCTCACTCCACGAAACCATGCTGGCTCTGGAGTAGCATCAATGCCCTCTATCGAGGTTAGGTAAACGCTGGTGTTTCCCAACTTGTTGAGTTCCGCGAGGTTATTGAGTGTTAACGGTGATGGTGCTCCTTTGATTGCAGTATAATTCACCATTGGTGTCGTGTGTACAAGCTGCTGTCCGATATCCGAAGGCATGTATGTTTCCTTGCTATATAGCCATACCAGCGGTGCTGGTTTTGGATTAGAATAGTGGTGCAGGCAGCTATCCTAGAAATCGCTTACCATATTCCATTACATAGCATGGTAAAGCGGTTGATGTCAGATTATAGGCCACGATCGTCTCATTGGGCTTGGTCATTGACAGGCGTAACTGCAGCACAGTGGAGAAGAACTGCACTAGAAAGGTCCACATGTTGACTGGTCGACTGTCATTGATTTCTCTGTCAAAAAGTGTAACCAAGTGTAGAGAGAGCTCTTTCCACTATTGAAGGCGCAAGTGCAGATAACGCGCAGCAGGGTTGTCCCCGAACTGTAGCCGCCAGCGTATTAGCCAAGTTATATTGCAGAGGTGCATATCAGGTGTAGAGAGTATGGACCTGCCACACGGTGTGGTACAGTCTGCAAGCCAATGTCTATCTGACCTTCTGACACTTCCATGTCGAGGGTGGTTGCTGGGCCCTCACTGGTAAGGCTAGTCCGGGGATAGTGGCAGGTGATGGGCCAGAAGAAGGCAAATCATTGCTTTTTCCTTAGCCCCGTGTGGAATACTGGCTGCAGAAACAGATGTGGCCGTCTCCTCGCCCACCTGCGATCTTCATTGCAGGGGTAGACCCAGGGTCCAAAGCATTCTGCAACCATAATGGTCGCGAATGAGTAGTTTTGCGATAAGCATGATCTGGAGTGGTGCATCTGATGGGCCCTTGTTTGAGATCATAGATGAATGTGATCGTCCGGTCACACTCTGCTCCGGCCTGGTCCCGTGATGCTGTCTGTAACCAGTCAAGTATGCGCTTTTTATCCCATGCCAAATTCCTTGCTTCTCAAACCATACAGAAATTGACCACCTCACCGAGGGGATTTACTCGGGTGTCTCATGCACGGACTGGTGCATAGCTCATTCAAATGCTTTGTTAGCCTTATGAATACCCCTCGCTCGCTCAGGTCCAGAGAATGCTTATATGCTAACATGTTATTGGATATCATAAACAGACAAGCCTTCTTAGCGTCCATTCCGGGTTCAAACTGTCGGAGTCAACCAAGACAATACGACTGACTACATAGAAGCCAACACCATCCCGAAGTGAGCACGGATCAACAGAGAACCGAAATCATAACTTCTCTTCTGCCGCCGCCTTCTTCTCCGCCTCAAGCTCCTTTCTCTTCTGTGCCTCTTTCATCAACTTGAATAACCGTAAGTCGAGAGGTATTCTTTCACCCAGCCAAGTAGCACGTTGGGTGTGATTACGCTCTTCCTCAGTTTCCACCGTATTCGGATGGATCAATGCACTCAAGGGTCCCCGATTGACAACAAGCCAGGGCACAAAGGCACCAAATTGTGCAGGAGTGAAAAGGTTAACTTCGAACATGGCCACTGGATGAGGCCCTATCGGCCTGTCGAAGAACTGATAGATTCGTAACTCGGGAACTACTCAAGTCAGTATTGTTACTACACGAGTATGAAACTGCTATTTTAGCAAGGGGATAATACTCACATTCACGCCGGATCCTCTCCCACAGAGCTCTCGCAAAAGTGACCTGATCTGGATTGTTCTTTAATGATGCAAAGTCAGCCAGGAAACTATGATGCTCAGTACACAAGTATCCACCAACCTGGAAGTGATAGATATGAATATCGAAGCCCCCACGACGACCCTTGGTGAGAGGGTCCGGGAACTCTTCGTATGCCTTACTCAGAACCCCATGTTGGGGGTTTCTTAAGGACTTTCCATCCTCGTTTCTCTCTCTGTACCATGACACGGGTTAGGCTCAACGCGTAAAACAATATATCATCCATTCGTCTATCTGAATCGATATTTCACCTTACTTACTCAGATAGCGGTTCTAGGTTCTCATATCCCTCTAACGGTGAGGGATACGAATATGCAAACTGGTCCGTCATTTGAGCTCAAACGTCGTCGGAGGTACACAAATGAGATGTGCCTGCTCCGCGTGTGGAAGACTGTTTTAAGACAGTAATCTGATCAACTGCTGCTTTGACCTGCCTTTAACCCAATCTGCAGCGTACGGTCGATAATCCCCTAACACTCTAGATGTTGTCTGATAGTAAATGCAGTAGTATTCTCAAGCAGAATGATGGTAGGAAAATCAGCTGCTATCCGAGTCCATATCCGACAGTACTACCAAGTTCCGCCATCGGATAGCGGCGACAACATATACCAATCAACTATGGCCAGAAAGACCCCCAATACGTCTGTCTAATGTCTTACCAATCAAGTCTTGGACTGTGCCACAAAGAGCGTCGGGTTTTATCCACTCATTGTTACCAGCGATGAGGCCATTTTCAGGTGATTATGCAACAGTATTGCGATATTCCGCACTTATGACAAAAGTGCGGAACTGGGTGAGGGGCTTGTCTTGGCGTGTAGACCCGTTGTTTTGTGCCTGAGGAAAATAGAGTTTTATGGGGGAGCAGTATACTATAGAGTGATTAGGAAAAGAAAGAAGCGTTTATTTATGTTTCTATTCGAGGAATGTTGGGCTTTAAGTCGGCATTATTGTAAGATGCATAGCTGCTTTCACTTAGAGTGGTTGGTATGCAGCTTGAGAATCCTTCGGGATTCAAATATATTCTCCTAGAGTTCTGATAAGCTGAGGCCTGGATTTATGTAGACCACACCCCACAGCTGATTTAATCTATAGTGATTACTATCATTGCTTGAAGAACAGATACAAGCTACTGGCCCGTATCAGTGGATATCATTGCAAGAAAGTAATCTATATAACGCCAGGGAGCTGTGATTCACAATATGATAGATATGTAAAGACCCCCAAGATCAACTGATATCACCAGGAAGCTTTAACGTCAATATGCCCATCCTGATCTACAAACTTGCCCCGATCCCACTCTCGCCCCTCACCCTTCTTAGACCACTTCACATCCTCTAGCCTGCCTTCTGAGTCATCCCCTGGCGTGGAGGTAGTGTTGCTCTTCCAACGGTCCACAAATTCGTTACTGAAGCCAGCTTCCCGCAACCTCTCCTCGCCCCTCTGCTTCCATTTTGCCCGATCACGCAACGCCTCCAGAGAGAGTTCCCAGTCGTCATCTCCAGTCATTAGACCAGCGACAGGACGGCGGGTAGGCCTGCTACCTGCCTGCCCATCATCATCCTCCAAATGTATATCCGTAGTGGGGTCGTAGTCAGGGGCAAAGTGTGCATCGATGTTGCTCATGTTGGGTTTGTAGGCACCGCGACCACGGGAACGAATGGGCGCTGAACACCCATGATCGTTATCTTTCGCCGGTAGGGGTCCAACAAGGTCTTCAAGAGGATCCGACTCATCATCCAAAGGCGTTTCCTCCTTGAATTGTGCATGAGTAAACGTTTGTTCTTTGCTTGTCGATGTACTATTTCTTCTAGATAGTTCCTTATCACGAGAACTGCGGTGACCCCTGCGCTCGCTATCTCTAGTTCTGCGCCTGTCAGATGCTCCTGGAGACCGCGAACGTGATCGTGACGACTCATAGCGGTTGCGATATCGTCGGCGATGGCTGCGAGAATCAACATCCCGGCGGTGTTCCGGGGATCGACTCCTCGAACGAGAATCAGATCGGTGGCGACGACTCCTTCTCGAGGATCTATGCCGGTCGTCATCGGTATCTTGAGGGTCACGCCTCCGTCGGCTCCTATGCGATTGGCCTCTCTCCTCCGATGCTGAGCGACTCCGATGTTTTCTTCGACTAGATCCATATTTGTCCTCACGATCCCGTCTTCGATCGCGTCGCGACTCTCGATCGGTTGACGTACGCCGACTGCGACGTTGGTCGCGATTCGCATCGTTCGCTGAAGAGGATGACGCCTGGTTCCGCAACTGTCGCATTCGCTCCCTGGCCTCCCGTTCTTCTTTCCGTTTCAGTGCTGTATTGTGATTGTCCGTCTCTCGGATTATATGTCGGAGGAATCGTGTGTTTGGTTTAGGAGCGGCGCCTGTAGGCCTGCAGCAATAAACTGTCAGCTCAATGATCGTCGTAAAGTATTCGCTAGAGAAAGTATATACCTTTTGGGCATGTATGCTTCCAATCCATGTGCCGAGTATTTCAGTGAGCTATCCCGTGCCTCTCGTGCGAGCACCTGTGCAACGTAGGCATCATCGCTGGGGTCGCCGATTGCATTTCCGGTGTTGGGAGGCATGCTGTCGGATCGTGGGACTTGAGCAAGGGTGGAAGGGTAGAAGTAGGGAAGTAAAAAATTTATATCATATTAATATACAGCGCCCATCCGGTAATTATATCATCCAATCCGAAAGTGAATATATAAAGAGAAAGGAAAGCGCGGCCAAGTCTACAAATGTGGGAGGCAAGAGCCATACATGCGGCGATATTGACGCTGCTGACCGGTGACTTCACCGCCCGGCTGATAAAGTGGTGGGTCCGATGAATCTGTTTACCTCCGCAATGTTTCTGCCAACGCGCGATAATGAATGGTTTTTGCCTTCACCCCTCATCCCATTGATTCGAAGACGCGAAAGATCCACCCTTACACTGCCATTGCAATTGACTATATTGGGTTATTGAGGGATCTTACAGATTCATCAAGGATACAATGGCCAGTTTAACACCCGCAGAAGCACGAAAGCAACTGCAGCAACTAGCAGACGACAATGGCGACTTAAAAACACAATTGAACATCCTCCGTATCAGCGAGCCGATATTCTCCCCTGACTCTGATACCAGGCGCTCATCACCATCTAAGCGCAGGTCAGATGTATCCACCTTTGAAACACCGACACCTGCTTCCTTGGAAGCGGACTTGACACACTATAAAGTATGAACAAATTCTCCCGAAGTGGGGTCGCTCTATAAGACCACCTATTCGTGCTGACAATACTCGGAAAGGAATTGTTCTCGAAGTTACGCTTTTCCTACGTTGAGCAAGTTACGAAGGAGAAATTTCTGCGTGCAATTGTGGGCGATCCGCCCCTGGTGGTCGGTCACAATGAAAATGTTGAGATGGAAGCGCAGTTGGCGGAAGTAAAGGCGGACCTCAAGGCTCGCAAAGAAGAAGTCCGAACTATGGTGGAGGAGATGGAGAAGCTGGGTAGGGATCTGGCGAATCGTGAGTACTCCCTTGTCTTCTGTACAGTAATGACTTATGTCCGTGGAGCTTCGATTCGTGACCATATCAACGACTGTCCTAACGATGGAAAATCTTTAAACAGGTTACAAGAATGTCCAGCTACAAATGACCCAACTCTCAACACTTCCAGAGTCGATTGAAAACCTCGAATCCACTGTTGCCGAGCTACGTGCAAAACAAGGATCAGACGCAAACGGCCCAGAATCGCAAAACCTCCCCCTTCCTGCAACGCTGAGTCTCCTGTCTGAGCGGGAGGCGGAGCTTGCGGCTCTTGATCGACAACTTGCAGCGGTGCAGAATACCCTGCCCCGCAAGACACGAGAGGCCGAGGCGGTGGAGCGTGAATTGGGTGTTCTAGAACGGCGGAAGACAGAAGCGATCGCACAGGCCCAAGAGGTTAAGAGAAAGAAGGAGGAAGGCGAAAGTGACGGGCTGGTGGAGACGGGAAGATGGTACCGGAGCGCGGAAGAAACTCTCAAAAGCCTTCTAGGTGTTACAGGATGAGGGCACTAGGCGTAGGCATGATTTGACGATATTGGGTCTTGGGACATGGCGTTTGCGGTGGATAAGCCATACATGATTACTTAGGTGTTCAGTGCTCAGGGATTACTACGACTAGGGAACCAAATGGTATGGGAATCGAGCCGTAGGCTACTAGTTCATTAATGGAATCGCATGATCGTACGTTATACGCTATGCTGCAGCCATAACGGAGCCCCGTGTTTTTATTTTGGCTAACGAAACCCGTCCGTACTCCAATTTTTAATCCTTTACTCCTCGTCCTCCTCAGCCTCGTCGTCACCACCACCGGCAGCAGCGGCAGCCTTCTTGCGCTGGACACGGCCAGGGCGGCCACCACCGTAGGGGGAGGTAAGGGCGAAGTCGATGTGCTTCTGGGAGTCCAGGCGGACCATGTAGGAGGGGACGTTGACGATCTGCTTGCCGACACTATTTTAAGGTTAGTAACTTGGCGTCATTACGCGAGGGAATGATCGGTTGCGCATACCGGATGTGACGCTGCTTGATCAGGACACGGGCGTGGTGGATGGACTTGGCAAGACCGAGCTTGTAGACGCAAGTCTGAAGACGACGCTCCAAGAAGTCCTCAACGCGGAGGGCCAGGACGTAATCGAGCTTCATGCGAGACTCATCGAGGACACCGATGCGGACCAGACGGCGAATCAAAGCGTTACCTTCGAAAAGACGCTTGGGGTCCTTCTCGTCGAGGGTGAGAAGCTCACTGTTCCAACAGTCAGCCATTGTTCCATTACTTTCTCCTGGCCATTCTCAAAGTCGATGATCCATGCGAAGTGGGGTGCGCATACCGAGCAGCACGACGAATCTTGGACAGGGTGAGCTGGACACGCCACACCTCACGCTTGTTGCGCAGGCCGTACTCGCCGACAATCTTCAGTTCCGAGTCACTAGCGATGACAGTTAGGCATGGGAACACACGACTTAAACAGAAGCACGCTTCTGATCAGTGGCCGGAGAGTACTAACAGACGGGCCGACTCGAAAGCTATATCAACATGTTAGTATATCATTCCACGTCGCAAACTTATCCAATTTTTGCAAAGACTGATAAGGCTACTTACGACGACGGGGGACCTTGTAGGTCTTGGAGTAAACGCGGCTGTTGAGAAAATTGCCATTAGAATGATGCGATACAGGTGTAGCTGATCGCTGGTCGTATACTCACGGGACGGGGGCCATGACTGCTGATTTCGGCTTGTCGCGAGGTTGTCGTACACACCAAACTTCACGAAAATCGCGGAAGATCTGAAGTTGAAGATGCGTTTTGGAGAAGGGAACTAAGCGAGCGAAGGTGGAGCCGGAAGCGGACTAGCGCAAGGGCTAGCCCTCGGCGGCGGAGAACGGCCGCACTAAGCACCCGAGAAGTCTACACCATCGCGAAGGGCGGCATAGCGAGGCATTTCTTCGACGTCGACAAGTTCTCAACACCAGCACCACCAACACCGCCGACATGGGTCACTCGCACGGTTTGAGAGCCGGTACTCGGGTATGTCGATTTTACCCAGGAAATTTTGCAGCACCATTTCGCTGGCCCGAAACGCGACCGCTGACGAACTTTTCAGTATGCCTTCAGCCGTAACTTCAAGGAGAACGGCCAGATTCGCCTGTCGACCTACCTGAAGACCTACCGGTACGCCGAAAATTCTCGCCGATTTGGATAATATTTGCATGAAGGAGCAGGATCTGATATTTTTCTTAGGGTTGGCGACATTGTCGATATCAAGGTCAACGGTGCCGTTCAGAAGGGGTCAGTACAAATTCCGCCCGGTTGAGATTTATGGGGATTCCGACATGAAGGGTTTTGCGTGTTGGGATGCCCGAAAACTTTGAACGAATAATTGGTTTGCTGAGACATTTGGAAATAGTATGCCCTACAAGGTCTACAACGGTAAGACCGGTGTCGTCTACAACGTGACCAAGTCCTCCGTCGGTGTCCTCCTCTACAAGGTCGTCCGCAACCGCTACCTCGAGAAGCGCATCAACGTCCGCATCGAGCACGTCAAGCACTCCCGCTCCCGTGAGGACTTCATCAAGCGTGTCAAGGAGAACGCCCAGAAGAAGCGCCAGGCTAAGGAGCAGGGTGTCCACCTCCACCTGAAGCGTCAGCCCCTCATGCCCCGTGAGGCTCACCTCGTCGAGGGTACCGCTGCCGAGACCATCACCCCCATCCCCTACGACACCCACATCTAAACGAATCAAAAACGGTCGATGCGGTTGTTTGGTGTTTCTGGGTTTTTCAAACTTAGGGTGGGCCTTTGCAATGAGACGAAGCGAAACAGAGGGTTCCCAGATGTTCTATCACATCTAAATCCTGTGCATAGATTCCCCGGAATGAAAGAAAAAACAAAATTTCCATTTCCCTGTTCGAAAAATGATATCCATGCGTTTTGCCAACTACCGAAAAATCTGCGAATATGGCTTCTGCGACACAACACTAGACTTGATAAACCCAGCACTCTCTCTCAACCTTGAAACCCGCCACCCGATTCTTCAAACCCTACAACATGGTATCTACGGTACGCAACTGTATGTCTGGGACGAGTGACGTATGGAGTAGTTTTGGTTATCTTCGAGTTTAAGCCTGGGACGTTAGATGTAGCCTGCCTATCCGAAAGCCATATCGAACATGTACACGTAGGGCTGATTGACGATATTATTTGTATCTCTGGATAGTACCCATCTTCGTTCGATTCCCCGCAGTGGATATAGTATTCAAGTGCTATTCTCAGCCTCCGCCCGCTGAAGGCTGTCCCCCATCGCTCTTCACTTGCTATATGTAGATTAGTTCTCCATCCCCAGTGATTTACCCTTATCGGGTTATCGGTGACGTGCAGGCCAGATTCAATGTCTATACTAGATCCTACGCTGCGCCTTATATTTATCATACTAGTGATACATCGTCGACTGCTACTAGGATGGCGAGTGAAATATATACGTTTAGTTACTTGAAGTTAATTGTTCGAGTCTATGAATCCTCCCCTACTCCTTCTAACGGGTCTCCTATTCCACAGAGAAATGTTTACTTGGCAAGGCTACCACTACGCTACTAGATCAGACGTCGCTAACGGTCAAGTGCTAGAAACCATTTTCAAACTCAACAGGCTCAGATCGAGTGTCACTTTCATCAGGCGAACAGTTACAACGATTCGTGACTGTATGCTTTCATGAACGTGCCCAGAAATTCCCCGGAAGGTGTTAGTCACAGCAAACACAGTGGCAAAGTATGTTTGGTATTCAAGACGCTATGCTTTGTTCTCAGATTCCAGTTTGCGACAGGTGCTAGTCGATTTGCCATCAGGCAGCACTGACGGATCCAGTAGAGACCATCAGCTAGCACCGTAAGTTACTTCGTCAGACAATATGACTCCCAACATACTGTCAACCCGAATGGCGCATGGGCAAGCATGTTTCCGTGCAAATGGGTCAGGAACTGAGCCAAAGGCTGGTGACCTTTCTCGGAGTCATAGCGCACATGGACAACGGATTTGTTGGGAGTCAGAGGCGTCCGCTTTAGTGACCCGGCTAAGACACAGACGAGTATATGTGGAAAGGATGTAGCATCTCCAATAAGAAGACCTTTTGTAGATGCTGACTATTTAGTTCAAAGGACACGACTTTAGTCAGGTCCGGATCGACCAATGTATTCCGTATGGTTCCTATAAATGATTAGTAGGATAGGCCGCAATTTGGGTAGTCCGCAGTAGCCTATGGTGCCTGCATTGTTAGTGCCCCTTTGACCATGTCGATGCTACCATAGTCACCAGATCCGGTGGTGAAGTTATGCCAGGAAGACTTGACAGTCAGTTTGTACACCATGAAACTTTTTGCCAGCTTCCTTCTTGGAGCTGGTCGAAAACAGTAGCATTTTCCTTGCTGAGACAGGAAGCTAGTACCCCGGCAATGCGGTCCGGTGCCGTTTCGGCAGGTCGATACACCTGTCAAGGGAGGGTCTCCGAAACAGTAGAGAGTATTTTTCTAATAGAGTGAATAACAGCACCGGTGAATAGGAAAGGAGTTAATGGGGAACCCTAAAAATAAGTTGGTCCTTTTTTTCTTCCCCCTTCTCTAGGGGGGTGTGGGCAAGGTTGAATCGGCCCAGGAGCAAAGCACAGCAGCAGTTCGGTTCGCGAAGAGAGTAAGTAACTCCAGCGCGGCTCCAGCCACAGGGTTTGCGGGAGGCCAGCGCGCTAACCGAAAGCAGCCCGCCTTAGTGCCTCAACCTGAACCGTCAAGTCATCGTCCATGACTGCAGCCATCACCCGATCACCATCCCGAGAAGCACCACCTCCTTCGACACGAACCTCCCTTTCGGGACTCTCTCTCTGGGCAGCGGCCTTCTACCATAATACAGCCAGCCTTCTCACGCCCCCGCCCTTCTGCCTCGACATTCACTTGGTTACCAGCCTCCTAACACTGGTCCCCTCTCCGCCGTCCACCTGGTCGTTCGGAGCTTTTACGGCTCAAGTAGTTGAGCTTACAGTTCAACCGTGGCGATTCTTGATACCTGACCATAGGTATATTCTCAGCCCGTCCCTTCTCATGCATTCATAAGTTCAGGATTACAGTCGCCACTTGTTTCCGTGTTTACAGTTTCAGAACATTTGTCTAACAGATGTTGCAACCTGTTGGCCTCACAGACTCAAGAATTGTTATGGCAGAGCAGAGCAGCCACGATGTGGTAGACCAAACCCTGTCGGGCGGCGATCCTTCGCCTTCCGACGTTCCTGCGAGCACCACCGACAAGAGATCTGCTGGAGGGGACGCGGGGGAGTTTAAAGACACCGCTACAACAACACAACCGGAGACGAACGCGAGTGACAAACAGGGTGAACAAGGAACGGGAACTACCGAAAATTCAGAGCGAGAAAACAAAACAAAAGATACCGATCAGACGCCGAGCGTGAGTGATGCCGACAACGACCTCGCAACATACCTACTGAACCCGACGCAGGATACCCCAAGATCTGGTCCTCTGCCGGTCGCCGCACGGGCGCTCGAGATGAATGGAGTAACTTCTGGGTCAGATGCTGGGGAGGACACAGCGTCTCAGGGAGGTTCAGAGTCTGATGCCAGTCGAACAGAGGGCAGGCTCCGTGCCGGCTCCAAGAAGCCAACCTCCTTCAAGCCGGTTACATTTGCCAAGTTTTCTGTTCCCAAGGCGCCGGGAACTCCCCCGATAACAAAGGCTTCTGAGAAAGGTATTTTACATTCACGTGTAATACGGAGGAATTAAGTCTGATTCACTACAGCCCCTATGACTTCCACTACCCCCCTGGGGACGCCGCCGCCAACCTCCCGTCCTCGCTTGGTCGTCAAGACTACTAGCAGCCTACGCGACTCGTTATCGAAAATGGGAACAGGTGCAGCCAAACCCGGTGGAGCTGGACCGGATCCGAACCAAGTCTGGAATAGGAATCGGCGTAAGACTACAAACCTCCCAGTTAACTGAGATGTGCTTCTGACCATCTTGTCCTTGCAGCCGTCCAGCAAACGCCTCCCAAGCACTTGACCGACGAAGAGTTGAAACAACAGTACGGCATCCATATGACGTCAAGGATACAGGAAGACGGCGGGGGAAGCGAAGCGAAATGGGCAGACATAGATGACGACGAGGATGATTGGGCTCCTGAGACGATTGAGTGGACTGATGGCACGAAAACTAACCTCACCAACCAAGAGCCTGCGCCATCCGCTCCAGTACCCAGCCAAGACACGGTGGCAGATGATTTTAAAAGGGAGTTTCCTCCAGTTGAGCAAGCAGCAGCAAGCATCAAGGAGGCGCCAAAGTTCATACCGAAACCTACGACGTCTATTGGGCCAAATCCCACGGTGCTTCGACTCGGAGCAAATGCAGAAAGACAAGCAAAGAATGCCGGTCTTGCTGCAAAGGGACTGAATGACAAATCTCCTCTACTATCCACAAGTCCGGCCCCTCCGCCCGTCAAGTCGCCTTGGGCACCTCTGCCACCGGTTGAAAAAATCTCACCTGTTATTCCTCCAATCCAGGTTCAACCGCCGATGCGGGCTCCTGCTCGGGAACCTTACCCGACTGACGGTTCCAGTGGTCCCTTTCCTCCAAAGGAAATTGCTGCAGACGATTTCAACCGGTCTTGGAAGGAGATGCAGTCTGGGACCCGGGAGCTCTACAATTCTCGATCTGGCCGCTATGAGCCTGCTCCTGACACGAGGAAGGGGCCTTGGCGCGCTGAACAGAGTTACCGTACCCCTGCCTTGTTGCAGAGGCCTGCTCAAGGTGAACAAAGTGGACCAGCAGAGCCCTCAGCCGCTTTCCAGACACACCGATCGAGCGGTCAAGATGGTATGCACTGGACACGGCGTCGGACATCGTCTAATGTGAGCGGGGGAAGTGGCAGCTTTGGGCGTCGGATGTCGATTGGTAGACCCGATGTGCCCCAGAAAGTGTTCGAATCGAGGAGAGGATCACAGGTAAACGGAATGATAGAAGCGGCCATCCCTCCTAGAGATATGCCACCTCCCAAGGAAGCTTCCCAACGCGAGATATCGCCTTCCCGACGTGGTCCTGGTCCTTGGCCTTCAAGAGGTGCTGCAAATGTGCAAGACAGAATAGCCAATATACCGGGCGGGACAGTACAGCCACCAACTGCCCCGACAGTGGAAGAGCAGCCAGCAGTGCCCCAACCGCCTCAGGAAGACCCTGTCGCTATGCAAGAACGCATCATGAAGGAAAAGAGGATGGAAGCTAGGCAGCGGAGAATAGAGCAGGAGGAGCGGGAAGAGGCTGCGAAGCGTGAAAGGATCCGGCAGAAGCTCGAGGCGCTTGGTCCTCCGCCCGAAAAGCCAAAATCAAGGCGTAAGGAGTCCATTGATGCCGGTAAGCCCGAGGCAAGCATCGCGCAGGCTACCGCGCAAGCGGCCCATTCTCCTCCGAAGCCTCCAGTACCTGAACCGAGCGGGGAGCCGAAGCAATATGGCATGATGAAGGTCCACCATCCAGACACTGTGAAGAAGCTTGTGGATAGGGAAAGGGGCAATACGGATAAAGCACCACCGGTTGCTACTGCGCGACGCACGTCTTCGCCGGCGCGTGAGCCCAAGCAAGAGACTAGCCTGCCGAACGGATCTCAGCAACCTGTTGTTGCTGAAACATCAAGCTCAGATAACTTGCCGGATCCCAAGGTCGACGAACAAAGTTCCCAGTGGAGAGGCAATCTTACTACCCCCAACACCTATCTGCCTTGGTCCCCGAATCCAAAATTTGTGGGACCGGCACCTCCTGCCATCTCAAATCCTTGGAAGCCTCTTAGCAATGACAAGACGCTAGGCAACGGTATCTTTGAGCAAAGCCTAGGGGGCTTCCCTGGGAGAGATATCTCCATACGCAGCCATCTAGGTCTTGACCAGCCACCCATGGCCCCGGCGACTCAGCCCTTCTCCGCTCCTTCGCGATCTCCACAGGATGGGGTATCTATCTCTCCGTTACCGTCCCCGGAAGCTAGGCATGTTCCTTATGACAACATAAACCCTATGCTGCGTCCCGGGCCTATTGGACCACCAAGCTCGCAGCACTCGCACCGGCAACAACAGACAGTGGCCTGGAACAATTTCCATGCAGTCGCTGCCAAACGTGAGGCAGAGGAGAACGAGAGGCTTCGTAACGAGTATGATTCGATGCGTGAGGGACCATCTTCTTCACT